GTCTCGGAGCAACAAACCCTTTAGATTGATCCATATAAATTTCCTCATTTAAGTCACCATTTAGAAAGCTACTTTCACATCCATTTGGTGTATCTCAAGATTATGTAATGTTGCAATAGCTATGAACATGCGAATAGATGTTATTCTCGTGACAGGAGAATATGTATCAAAGTAATCAAGACCTTTTTGTTTGTAACCTTTAGCTACAAGTCTAGCCTTGTACTTATCAATTGATCCACCAATTTTCATTTTCCTTTTGAAAATTCATTTGCACCCCTATGGTTTACTCCTTGGAGGAAGATCTACCAACTCCCAGGTGTGATTTTGCATGATGGATTCAATTTCATTATTTACANAAGAGCTCATCGCTCATATATCCCTTGCCTACATAAATCCCACTCTTAGTGAGTACAAATTTATTGGACTCAAAAACTAACCTAAAACCCTTCGTACTTAACAACGATCCAGACACAAGATTCTTTCAAATTTCTGGAACATATAACACATTATTNTCTTTCCACATAGGTTCTTCAGGAGTGGACATCGCTTCATTGAAGCTTTGAGGCTCATTTCCTAACAATATGTTAGAAAATCTAGAGCATAGGACTTGGAAGTACTTGCTCCCTTACTGCGTCTAAGTGCCTCTTCACTTTCTTCATTTATAGACTCATGATCTATATTACTAGTCATAGTATCATGAGTTCTTTTAAGAGAACTTCCATTACATATTTTTACTAGGTAAGACATTTCAAAAAATGATGCATTTCTTGAGTCAATGATTGTATTGACACTTATATCAGATTTATGCATGAGAAAACAATATGCATTACTATTTATTGCATAACCAATAAATATACAATCAATAGTCTTAGGTCATATTTTAATCATTTTGGGAATAAAAACCACCACCTTAGCTAAACATCCCCACACTTTTAAATATTTGTAGGAATGACTCCGNGACAGCCTTTCTCTTGTGGTTTACTTGTGCTTTACGGCTTTGGCAATCTTTTGCACGATGTCCCGATTTATTGCACACAAAGCAGTTGCCTTTGAACCTTTTAGAATCCTTACCCTTGGCCCCTTGTTGCCCAACCTACTTCCTTTTCTTGTTGGTTTTATGTCTCTCTTCAATCACATGTGTCTTTGACTCCATAGAANCCGAACTAATCAACATGACATTTATCATCTCTTTCAATGTTTTATTTTTACGTTCAGTAACTCCATTTTGCTAAGGTGTATAAGACTCAAAACTTTGGTGAATAATACTATGTTCTTGATAGACTTGATCGAAAGGTGCGTCATATTCACCACCTCGATCACTTCTTATTGCCGTAATCTTTTTGCCAAATTGATTCTCAATCTCATTCTTATAATGCATAAATTTTTCTATTGATTCATCTTTACTCCTTAGCAAATATATATAGCAATATCTTGTGCAATCATCAATAAATATAACAATATATTTCTTTCTACCTCTAGTTTGAACATATTTCAAATCACATGTATCACTTTCAATTAATTCTAGAGGTTCAGTACTTCTTTCAATATTATGAAATGATGCTCTAGTTAATTTTGATTCAACACATGCCTCACATTTATGATTTGCATCATTATTAAATTTAGGCAACAATTCTAAATTCATTAATTTACGCAAAGTATCAAAATTAATGTCCTAATCTACCATGCCATAAATTAGAAGATTCAAACATATAAGCTATTGATTTGTTCTTATTATTAAAATTAGATACAATTGTCATTACATTCATCTTAAAGAGCTCATCGCTCATATATCCCTTGCCTACATAAATCCCACTCTTAGTGAGTACAAATTTATTGGACTCAAAAACTAACCTAAAACCCTTCGTACTTAACAACGATCCAGACACAAGATTCTTTCAAATTTCTGGAACATATAACACATTATTGAGAGTAAGTTCTTTTCCGAAAGTCATCTTCAATATAACCTTTTCTTTGCCTTCAACTTTGGAAGTGGAGGAATTTTTCATGAAGAGTTGTTCTCCATCATTAATTGCTTCATATGAAGAGAACATATTCTTATCCGAACATATGTGTCTAGTGGCCCCGGTGTCCACCCACCATTCCTTGGAATTTCTCACCAAATTCACTTCGGATAGTACAACAGAAAAACTTATGTTAGAAACATTTTTAGAAAGTTTTTCTACTTCAGTTATATTGGCTTGGACAGCCTTTCTCTTGTGGTTTACTTGTGCTTTACGGCTTTGGCAATCTTTTGCACGATGTCCCGATTTATTGCACACAAAGCAGTTGCCTTTGAACCTTTTAGAATCCTTACCCTTGGCCCCTTGTTGCCCAACCTACTTCCTTTTCTTGTTGGTTTTATGTCTCTCTTCAATCACATGTGCCTTTGACTCCATAGAATGATTGCCAAATTTCCTTTTGGAGACTCTATTGCCCTCCTCAATCCTCAATCTCACGATCAAGTCTTCAAGTTTCATTTCTTTGCGTTTGTGCTTCAAATAATTTTTGAAATCCTTCTAATTTGACAGTAATTTCTCAATAATTGTAGCCACTTGAAAAGATTCACTAAGCACCACATCTTCGGCATGAATCTCATGTAGGATCACTTGAAGATCTTGTACTTGAATTATAATACTCTTGGAATTCAGAATTTTGTAGTCAAGGAATCTACCCACAACGAATTTCTTCATTCTGGCATCCTCCATCTTGTATTTTCTATTCAAGGATTCTCACAGCTCTCTAGCCGTCTTGATTGAACTATACACATTATATAATGTGTTATCCAATCCATTGAGGATATAATTTTTGTACAGAAAATCAGAGTTCTTCCATGCATCTATTGCAGCAACAACTTGGTGGTCGGTCTGATTCTCACTATAAACAAGAGCATCCTCACGAAGAAACTTGCAAGATTCAACGTAGTGAGATAAAACAACATTTTTAGTTGTCATCTCTTGAAATTGTTCCCATTGAACTTTTTGGGTTTCTCCCCATGAGACACATGAGTAGGAACAAAAATAGGCACCATATGCACAATATGATTTGTAGTAGCAGGTACATTATTATCATTTGCAGTCATTTCTGATCGATAAGGATTTCAAACTATTCAAAATTAAGAAACCAGTAACACTTTTCAAAGAAAATTATTAAAACAGAGACAAGCCAAGTTACTGTTCAGTGTCACTGTTTTGAAGTTACTGTTTTAAAGTTTCTGTATGGTGTCACTGTTTGGTGTAACTGTTTAAATTAAACATAGAAACAAACATCCAATTTTTCACAAAATGTTCACGTCTCTTTAAAATACCACATATTGTAAACAAAACAGGTTTTAACAATATGCAATATTTTAGAACAATTTAAAATATTAAAACATATATCAGAAAGTCAACAAACAATTATACAAACATGAGAAGTCTGTGTTAAGATTGTTGTTTGTGGTATTCCAAATATTGTAAAATCACTTATTGAAATTTCTGTTATTATATAATTTAAAATAAACAAAGTAGCAATAGTGAAATGCGGAACAGTTACACAAAAACAGTTTTACACGAAAGAGTTACACCAGTCTAACGAAATAGTAACAACAAACAGTGACACATAACTGTTTGTCAAACCAATATAAATACTAACCCGGTTGCAGAACAGGAACTATTATTGAAGTTGATGTAGATCAAGACTAGTGTTTGACATTATATCCTTAAAACTGATTTCGTCCCCACACACGGTGCTTATGGAATATTGAGCGTCTGCTTCCCAGGATACAATAATTTTTACACGAGTAGTAGTAGCACTCTAATCTACTCGTCCAGCGAACCAAAATTATGTTATGTACTCTTCAAATGCAGACTCCTTAATGGCGAAAATGCTATGCACTAATGTTTGACTTAACTTTTTATATGACTGATAATTGTAATAAATTCAAAATGCTAATGAACCTGGGTATTTATAGACACCTATGGTGACTTTACGGATAGTCACCACACTAAAGGACATAACCCAAGAAGACAAATGCAAACCAGTAGACACAATTCAAAATTTTAGACTGGAAGGAAGCAAATATTCAACCCAGTGCGATCCAATGGATATCGAAAATTAATTTCGGGTTAAAAAATTCACGCCCAATTAATTAAATAAATTTTCTTCAACAAGATAGTGCTTAGTCTAAACCACACTCACACCCGAGCCTCGCCGGGTCGGGTCTTGGTGAGGCAGGCAGGCGGCGTGCACGCATTTGTGTTCGAACCGAAGGCATATTGGCGCTCGCTTTGGCTCATAAAACTATGGTACCTCGTGAGGCCCAATCCCATAGAGAAAACTTGGTCTATATATGCCTATATAGAATTTTTTCCTCAACCAATGTGGGATTGGTGTCAAATCCCACATTGCACTACCTTTATATCACAATTCAAGAGGGTCAATTTGAAGCCTATTTTCTCATTCATTCCTTACTCGATTTGAGCAAGTGAATATACTATATTATTCTCCTCACGGAGTAGAATATGAACCCATAAAATTTTATTTGAAACAACGAATGGGTCCTATTTTAATTTAGGCTCAAAGTCGACCAAAACTTTAGTTTTTTCACTTAAAAAACTATTTTGGTCCAACACTTTGTAGGGGAGAATATTAAAGGCAGGATCCATGAGAGCTAGGTGAACTTAGAGGATCTAAAAAAATTCTGGTCCTTTGACACTGGTCTCCTTTATTGAGTTGCTTGGATTCTGCTCGGCTATACCCATACTTCTCGTTCATTTTTTTGAGGTTCCAAAAAGGCCCAATGCTCACCTGGTTAAAGACATAGAGGAAATTAGAGGTTAAAGGGTGGTCTTGCAGGAAATCAATTTCAACGGTTATGGGAAGAGCCAGAACTATCAATAATTTTATTGACTTCGTCTTTAATCCATTTGTCACCCTTACTTTGGGTGCAACCTTGCCTAGATCTTCCTTTGTCGAACCACTTGTTGTTTCTGCTTATTGAACTTTCCCCTCTGAATCTGAAGCTGCTCAGGTTGCTGATGGCGAGTCCCAATCAATTCTTATGCTGGATGATGATGATCCAACAACTGATCTCTTTAAAGTCCCTCAATGCAAAGTTACTGAACCAGAAATGCTTGAAACCCTAGAATTTCCTCTGTCTCTATCTTCTGCTCCTGCTGATAGGTTTCCTTCTAGAGATAGGTTTCCCTAGATGGCCCGGTTATGCGATGAAAATGAGTTGGCAAGAAGAGAGAAATTATGGAGATCGACCAATCTAACTATACTAAAGATGCTAAGGT